TCGAGACCCCCCCACTGCCCCCACCACCCCCCGCCAGGGACAATGGTGCCTTCAGCCCCCGGAGATGAATGGGGCCTTTGAGAGCCGCACGCCACGGGGTCAGCAGTGGTCACTGGGTCCCGGGGCGGCCCAACCTCCAGAGCACAGAGCCACTGGTCTGGGGTGAGTGCATAGCTCTTGGGGGAGGGAAGGTATCCTATGGCCCCTGTCTTAGACTAAGACTGCTGGCTCCTGGGAAAGAGATTCACCCCAGATCAGGCAGTTCCTGGTAAAGAAGGATCTTAGGGGCGTGGGGAGAGAGGAACCCCCCTCTCTGCGCCAGAGGAAGAGACAGTCCTGGGTCTCCTCAGGAGGCAGCAGAATAAGCTGTGGTGCAGGGGCGGGGAGGGGGGTGGTGAATAGAACCTACCAAGCTTTGGTTACCTCCTCTCTCCCCTCCCCAGATCAAGGTCCCACCCTCCCTTTGGATGGGGCAGCTTCCTCCTTCTCTCATTGCCCAGGTCCCTGCTTCTGGGGTTGCCCCTGAGGTCTGGTCCCTCCTCCCTGCTCCTGTCTCCCCTCCCCTTCTCACACTGCACAGACTATCTGGTTTCTATGGAAACAGGCCCAGGAAGGCTCTGCCAGGAGGCCAAGGCCACTACTGCTCTTGGTGGGGAGGGGGTTATAGGAACTGAATGTAAGGGGCAGGAGGTGAGTCCTAGCTCCCAGAAAGGGACGAAGACCTGTTGGGAGTGAGATTTTCCCTGCTGGAGGGGCACCGAGAAGAGGAGCCAGAGATATAATTTTGTGATGTGACCGAGGCAGAGTTGAAGAGCTTCTTGTTCCTCCGGTTCTTCGCGCTCCAGAAATCTAGACGAGCCCCCTCAGGGGGGAAATTAGTGGGTAAAGAAGGGAGACAGGTAGTACCAAGAGCTTTGCCCCTTCCTATTTCATATGAGGCTCTATTGTTTTGCCCCTCCTGGGGATATGCCCACTTGAGAGAAGGAGGTCCCCAGGAAACTAGAATGCTATTGGGGGGAAAGTGAGGGTCAAGTGCTATTGGGGGTGTGAGCGTTCAGGGCTGTTCAGGAATCTCCCGTAGGCAGCTGGAGCTAGAGGTGGCCAGAGGCCCAGGAGTGTCAGGTGCTTTTGTGGCATCTCTCCTAGCACCTCCACTGAAGAGTTGTGGGAGAGACTGCAGCTTCCTCCCCGCCATCCATCCTGTCAGGATGCTGGGGTATGAAAAGAAGAGAGTGGAGGTGGCCACGTAGGGGTTGGGAGCAGAGAAAGTGGAAGAAGCCTGAGGAAGGAGGGGTAGGGAGAGGGGTGGGTGGGGTGATGCAGATGTGTATGGTGAGGGCAGGTAGGGAGCTTCTTAGAGGCTTGACTGTCAGCTCCTGGGAAGTGAACCCCAGCCTTCACACCCTCCCAATGCTCCCACCTCAGGCAAAACGGCCTCTCAGGCAGGGACCATTGGAAATCTCAGAGTCCTGGGAGATCTGTGTGTGTGTGTGTGTGGTGGTGGTGGGGTTCCCTTGGGAAGGGGCCTCCCAGGTTATCAGAAGGTTCAGCAAAGCTTCCCTGGGGAAGAAAAAGGGGTCTCTTGGGAACCTAGAGTTTCCTGGGCTTGCGCCATCGGCTCTCCCTCGGCCAGAGCCCCCAGCACAGTCGTTTCGGTGTTTGCTTATTTTGGTTATTTTTTGATCAGATATTTTGGCGCTGTGCACACTGCCTCCTGTTGCCATGGCAGCCGTGACAGGGGCTGAGGCACCGTGAGAAAAATACCAAAATTAATGAGTGAGCGAAAGTGCAGCCGAGAGAAAAACAAGGTTAAAAAAAGAGTTAAAACAGTAATGAAAACAGGCTTCCCAGCTCCACAGCAGAGCAACTGCTGAAGCCTCCCCAGAGCAGCAGCCCCCGCCCAGCCTTGGGCTCCTGGCATCTCCCAGACCTCAAGGCAGAACTCACTCGCCTTCCCCCACCCAGCCAGCCACAGACACAGCAATGGCCACTCGGGAACCCTCCCAAGTACAACAGTAGATCAGCTCCAACAGCAGATCAGCTCCCATCTTAGGTAGCATCCTGCCTTCCAGAACAGCTTCCCAGGGAACAGCTTCTCATCTCCTAGGAAACAGAGTGTGGCCTCTGTCCCCCACACAACAGTGGTCCCGCTATATTACCAGGAAATGGCCTCTCAGCTCCACTTGAGCTTCAGAGCTATGGCTGCAGGCATAACAGCATCCCAGCTAGAGTCCTGCACACAGTAACAGCCCAGCCACAAGCCTGGGCAACAGCACCTTAGCTGTAGCCAATCCCCAGTATGCTGTCATCACAGCTATAGCTTCAGGACCAATAGCAACCCAGCTACAGTCCTATACACAACAGTAGCTCTGCTCTTATCCCAGGTAACAGCCTTCCTCTCAGGTACAGGCTCCTAGCAACGGCCTCTCATCTAGTACCTAAGCAGTAGATCCAGCTACAGTTCTACCTACGTCATATTAACAGAGAACAGCTTCTCAGCTATAGCCAGTCTCAGGTATGCCAACCTCACACTTTTAGCTTCAAGCCTTACAGCATTTCAGTTACAGCCCTCCTCTCAACATGCACACATGAACACACACACACACACACACACACACACACACACACACACACACACACAGCTTGGCAAAAGCCTCTCTGATTGTTCTGGCTATACCCTAGGCACACCAGCATCATAGCATCACAACAGTGTCCCAGCTGCCATCAGAGACAACAATTTTTTCTGTTACAGTGCAAGGCTCTACAGCATCCTAACTCTCTATTAGCCACGGCCCATCCCAGGCACATACATATCACAGCAAGAGCCTTAGGCCACAAGCAATGCAACCACTCCCACACCTAGCATCCCCCAATCCCTGGCCACAGGCTCAGCTGGAATCTCAGGCATCATCAGTTTAGAAGACCCCGATTCCCTACTTGCCAACCAGGTCCTCCTCCCAGTTTGGTATGGGGCCAGGAGCCTGGCTTCTCTCCTCTTCAGATGCAACCTCCCAGTCTCAGCCCTTTGCCTGCCCTTCTGCTTGGGGAAGACAGCCCCATCCTCATTTCTACCTTGTCCCAGGCTCAGGGCCCCCACAGAGCCCAGCCTGGCAGCTGGGGTAGGAGGGGATGGGGAGTAGGGAGAAGAGTAGACACACCCTGGTGTTGCGCTGGCCCAGTTCTGCTCCTATCACTTGAGGTGCAGGATTTGGGTTTGACGGTGGTGGAGCAGGGAGGACGGAGGAGAACATCTGGGAGATTAGCATTTCCTGCCCAGCTCTGCGGCTGCCTCTTGCTCAGCCCTGAGCAAGGGAGGAGAACAGAGGAGCCTTTGAATGGCTCCCAGCAAGCAGACTGGGGAGGGTTTGCTGCAGTGGGCAGCAGGCACAGGCTGGGGGCAGGGAAGCTGGGGCAGCTCCTCTGTGGAAGATTTCTTGTCTCTGGGCCACTGATTCCTCCCTTGGAGTTGTGCTCAGTGATGCGGAGCATATGAGTTTTGCAGGGGACCGGGAGAAACCACCTATAGGACAGATCCTCCTTTCACTAGCTCACCCCATCTCGTATCCAGAGCACCACATCTTGGATTCCGGGGCTGAGGTCTGAGAGTGCAGACTAGAGCAGGGCCCAGGCCAGAAAGGGAGTTGGAGGGGGGCTGCTCTCGGAGAGATCTTGGGCAGCCCTCAGCTGGCCCGAGAGCCCACCCTTACCCTGAAGAGTGTTCCACAGAGAATACAGGTGTCAGAAGGGGAGGAAGCAGAGGAAAGAGACAAGGGATAGAGGAGTGGTAGGGATGGGAAAATGCCTGTGGATAGGGAGTAGTCAGAGGCTATGGCAAATAGAGGCCCAGTCATCCCATATTAGGCCTCTGCACACCCAGTTCCAGGCCTTACCAGGGACAGTCTTTCTCACTCTTCTGGCCTGGAACCCACTGCGTTGGCTTATAAGTGGCAAAAGCTGGAGGTCGTATTAGACTGGGGCACTTGAAAGCCTGGGGTACCAAACCCTGAGCGAAGGAAAAGGAGTTCCCAGGCTGCTCAGACACCTCTAGATGGCGCCAGAGAGCCAAAACTGAGTGGGAGAAACTGAGTATTGAGTGTGTGAGACACTGCGTGTGACACAGTGTGTGACTCGGTGTGATTGTGACAGGGAGCGTGTGGCACTGCGAGGGCGTGTGACACAGGCCGTGACACTGCTTGGCTTCGCGGGGTAGGGACCCATGTGACTGTGTGAATGTGTGTATGTCACTGGTAAATGTGTCGGGGTCACAGCTCCGTGCCGCCCAGAGGGCAGGTGATTGAGGGACCCTCTAATAGCCCGAGCTTAGGCGCGTTACCTCATCCTCACACTTGTACATCTCCCCAGTCCTCATTCTAGAGGAGCTCCCCGGGGCCCGTTACCCTCTCCCTCGCACGGTCCCCTCCATAGCCCCACCCCCAAGACTTGCTGCGGCCACCGACGCTGACCGCTCTGCGGCTTCGGCCAGAGGGGGAGGGGTGGACTTCCCCTGAGCGCAGTGAGAAGGGAGGGCCATTCGGGGTGATCTGGGGGTCTGGGCGGGAAGAATGTGGATCTGGAGGAGCAGATGCCCAGAAAAGAAGGCACCGGGGGAGACATTTCCCGTACCTCCACTTCCCAGGGGGGCAGGGTAGGGGACAGGTGTTTGAGTGAGGTTAGGAAAGGAATTCGGGAGGGGTCCCAGATGGGGGCACGGGTGGGATAAGTGTAAACTGAAGAGCCAGGGAGGGGGACGGTCTGTGTATACGGGCCTCGGGTAGGGGAGAGATAGCCAAAGGGGTCCTGGCTTTGGGGAGCGGTGCTGGGGTCCCCTCCCAGCAGGACCAGAGCGGTCCCGAGCTCCACCTCCCGGCCGTGTTGGGCGGGGGAGGGGGCAGGGAGGCGGGAGGGAGGCAGGCGGGCGGGCCAGGAGGGAGGGTGAGGGAGGGGGCGGGAGGGAGGGGGCGGGCCCGGCTGTGCTCTCCGTTCGCCGTTGGCTCCGCCACCGCTGCCGCCACCACCGCCGCCTCACACACTCGGGGAGCGGGAGCGCGGCGCGGACGCGAAGCCGCTGGGGCTGCTGTGCCCAAAGCCAGCCGGAGCCGAGCCTGAACCGCAGCGCCAGCCAGAGCCGTGCCGTGCCGAGCCGCAGCCCGGGCCGGGGCCGGTGGCGGCTCATGGACTGCAGGGCCCGCGGCCTGCGCTGCCCACAGGCGGGTAAGGATCGGTGGCGGTGGAGGCGGTGGTGGCTCCCGGCCGGGAGCGGCCATGGCCGGCAGGAGCCGAGGGAGGGGCGCTCGGCCGAGCGAGGCCACGGGGGCCCGGTCGGTGCTCAGCGCGCCGGGGCTGAGGTGGGGGCGGTTGGGGTTGCGGCTGGGGCACCCTGGCCTCCAAGGTCCGTCGCAAATAGCCGAACGAGGAGAGCGGGTGCTGGACTGGGCTCCAGCCTGGGCGCCCTGCACCCCGGAGCGCTTGGAGCTGCGGGGATAGGGGGGCTCCAGCCGCGCGAGGGATGGAGATGGCCTGGGGCAAGCCCAAAGCCCCCAGTTGGAAGGGGGGCCGTCCCCGAGGATGTAGCAAGCAAGGACCCTCGTTCACAACGCGCGCGCGCGCACACACATACACACACACACACACACACACACACACACTTGTTGGGCGACCAGCTCGGATCACTCAGGCGCTTCCAGCTCCCCGCGGGCACCCGGAGGGCCAGACCACGGACATATGTACACACATACATACATATGTGCACACAGGCATACCTCCCGCACACCAGCGCCCACTGGGGCACCGTCAGTAGCTTAGAATCTGCTTCAGCTTCTGCACGCTCAGCAGCACGGACACACAACCCGTGGCCATACAAAGCAACAAAACACAACCGGGTGTGACATTCGGCGACATGGACACACAAAAGCAATCTCATGCCCGCACATACGAGTGTCACGACCACAGTTCTCCAGATGAACACTCAAAACCCAGCCCCGCACACACATATTCCTTTAAGGCACACACCCTAACATAAATTATGTTACACTCCTTGGCCAGAACACAGGTACACAACACATGTCTCGCTTGCACCCCTCGACTGCACCCATAAACACAGAACCCAGTGTTTCAGCACACTCCTTGACGGCACACGCCCTAACACAGCAAGTGGCACCCACAGCAGCGCCTCACGGTCACAAACACAGAATCTACTGCTTCACACATCTTAACACTGGGTGTCACACACACCTTCCACCAACAGTGTCACATTACACCTTGCAGCGTATACACACAAGCATACACGCTCTGTCCCTCACCCTCGGAGGCCAGATTCCGTCAGGGGAAGCCGCCGGGCCACCCGGAGAGCCCCTAGAGCCCGTTTCCCCTTAGCGCCGTACAGTGAGTGTAAATTTCGGCCCAGCGGGAACCCTAGGGACTGGCCGGACCTGCTTCCCCGCTGGCGCCTCCCCACCCCCACTCCGGGGCCGGCCGGCCGGGAATTCCCGGAACGAGCTGGACCTGGCAGCCCGCGCCAACCCCTCCTCCCCGGAGCTCCAGGGCCCTAGGTCCCTTTGCAGAGGGTGCAAGCCTTGGGCGGTGTTTGCGACCCTCTTCGGACCATTTAGCTTCGTTCTCCAAACCACCTGGATCCCCAGCACACCTGGGGCCCACACACCTGTGTCCTTCTCACACCTGGGCGTCCTCTCCGCCGGGTCCCGGCTGCAGGCCAGAGTCGTGTGTGCGGGCAAGGCCCTGGGACCAGGAGGGCACGCGCGCGGCACGCGCAGGAGCACAACCGGCAGGCGAGAAGGACTCGCACCCCTCCCCCCCCCCCCAGCTACCCTCGGGAGCCCAGACTTCTGGCCTCAGTTTTTCAGCAGTGGTCGGAGACCATTCCTTCTAGCAGGAAATATTCGGGGCTGCTTTGAGGTCTTTGACGATTGAGAGTGGGGCAAAGCCCCCTTTTTCCGCTAGAGGGTCCGTTTTACGAGAATTTCTCCTCCGGGCCGGGCTCGCTGCTTTGTGATTCCGGCGCTGGCTCCCTCCCCGCCCCCTCACTGCGCCCGCTGCGCGGCTCTAGACGACGCCGGCTTGCGGGGGTCCCTAGGCTGAGGCCCGAGAGGCGGAGGAGGAGGGAGTCCCCGCGGCGGCCCCTGGGGCTGGGGGCACCAGGGACACGCCGGTGAGGCGCGTTCTCACCGCGCCGCGCTCGCGCCTCGCCCTGAGCTCGGGAAGGCCCGGCGTCTCCCTGCTGAGGGTGGGGGTGGGGTGGGGCCGGCCGAGCCGGAGGCTGGCGGAGAACAGCCGCCGTCCCACCTCCCCCGACACACTCTCCCGCGTCCTCTGGGAGGAGATACCCCGCGCGCAGGAGGTGTACGGGGAGCGCCCGCTGACCGCGGCGGTGTAGGCTGAGGTCTGCCCCGGCCGGCAGAGTCCAGGACGTCGTGCCGGAAAACGCCGAGAGCCTTCCATTACCTGCTCTGGGCCAACCCTTGGTAGCTGCCAGGAAGGAGAGCGCGCAGAAGGTGTTTGTGACAGCCCAGAGGTCTAGGTGTGTGTGGGGTGGATGGGTGTTACTTTCTTGACGTGGCGGTCTGGGAGGATTGAAATGTGTAATTACGACCAGACCAGGGGATGTCGTGGAATCGAGGAGAGAGGGATGAGAGGAGCCTCCAGAGACTGCCAGGGGCGGGGTGGTAGGGGAGCAGGTCCGGTTTCAGTTCTGGCTGCATTTAGTTTCTTCCCTTCCCTCCCACCCAATCCCCAATTCCAAAAGGGATTTCAGCTGGAAAGGGGGGGTCTTGCTGGTAAGGCGTCCTCCTGGAAGACGGGCTGCTGCTGTGGCTACTTGGTCAGGGGAGCTGGGCTAGGTAGAGATGGTGAGCTAACTGCCGCGGAGTGTGGGTGGAAGGGTCAGGAGAAGGTCTGCAAGGGTGGGGGGAGGAGCTGAGCAGGAGTCAAGGCTGGGGGGGAGAGGAGATGGGAAAGGAGGAGGCCCTTCTGATACGGGTGAGGTCTGCCCCTACCGTGAGAGAGGATAGTTGGTGCTGCAGAGAGAGATTCTTTCAACCATGTATTGAGCACCTACTGTCTGCTAGGGCCCATGGTGGGTGATGAGGATGCAGTACTGTAGTAAGACAGACACCATCCTTGCCTTCATAGGTCTTCCCAACTGGCAGGGGATTGGCTCATTTATTTATTGAACCAATGAGCACCTGCTGTTTGCCTGATGTTGGAAATCAAGTGCTGTCTTCGGTGATGGAAAGCTATCTGTCCTTTACAACGTAATAGACCTTAATGCATCGGCTCTCATTTAATCCTCCCAAATAACTTCAAGAGGCAGGATTATTTCCATTTCACAATATGGAAATATGTTCAGAGAGGTAAAGTCACTTGGCCAAGGTCACACAGCTAGGAAGTGGTGGAACCAGGGTTTGAACCCTGACAGTCTGACTCAAGAATGCAGGTGCCTGGAAACCCTGCAGAGGCTAACAGAGGGTTTTGAAAAAGAAGGGAGAGGAGCTGAGGGCTGTGCACTTATTCACTGTGGGAAGCCTCTGAACAGCTCCACCCCACACAGCCCAGCTTGCTTACCCTCCTCTCCCAGATGTTTGCTGTGTCCCTTGGTGATTTGTGCCCACAGTGGTGGTGACTGTTGTGTAACAGTGCAGGAGTGAGGGTCAGGGCTGACCTGGCCTCTGGGACAGTGATGTCTGCCCCTGTGTGTTTCCTCTCTGGCCACAGCATTCAGCAGGAAATGGCCCCTGGTCCCCGAGGTGGACTGTCAATGAAGGTTCCAGGTGAACCCTCAGCACTGTTCTCCTTCCTCCCCAGATGTTGACACAGATGGCGTTTTCCTTGCCCTTCCCTGGACTCTGCCCCCTCACACCTCACTGTGCTCCTCTGGCCTGAGAAGAATGAGTCACTGCCCCTACTGAGGCTCTGGCTTCTCAGGGTCCTGGGTGCCGAGTGTCGTTAGGTGGAGGTGGGGACACCCCTGCTGGGAAGGCAGCCAATGCCTAGGGGAGGGCAGATAAGGCACTAATCGTTTCAAAGGCTGCTGTCTGGGACTAAGGACTCCCAGCAACCAACCACCAGGACAAAGTTCAGGGATGGTGGGTGGGAGCAGGGGGTAGGAAAGGCTGCTGCACTGCCACTCCTGGCTGTTCTGTCTCTCTCTCTGCATCCTGGGAGGCCTGGGTTCCTTTGGACCTTGAACCCTAGGCTCTCTCTTTCTCTTTCACTCCTTGCCCTGCAGGTTTGGCAGCCCAGGGATTGTGTGTGTGTGTGTGTGTGTGTGTGTGTGTGTGTGTGTGTGTGTGT